ATTTTTACTTTTGTATTCCTTTAATTCTGTTTCTCACAGCTGCTAGAGAGATCTTTTAAAACATTCATCATATCATTCTCCTGTTAAAACTCTGTAACGGCTTCCTTTTTTGCTCTTTGAATAAAATCCAAGCTCCTCTCCCAGGCTTTCAAGAAGTGGCTCCCAGCTGCCTTTCTGACCTCCTCCTGTTCTACTTTCCCTTCTCCCCTCTGTGGTCTGTACAGCATCACCACCTTTGCGCTCGCCGTTCCTTCTGCCTATCGCGTTCTTTGCTGGCTTTGTATTTGGCTGACTCCTTGACATTCAAATCTCAGCTAAAAGATGACTTCCTCAGAGATACCTCTGACTACTAATCTAAGAAACTACCCAGTTACTTGCCTTCCTTTAATGATTTTTCCTCGCACTGTCATCATCTGATATTTTGTTTCTTACCTCCTTTCCCACCCTGCCAACTAGAATTCAAGTTCCATGAGAAAAGACACCGTGTTTTTTCTATCTCTAGTGCTCAGAACAGTGCCTGGCTTCTAGGAGGCCTCAGTAAGTGTGTGGGTTGAAATTACGAGTGACTAAAGGGTTTCTGATCATGTTAGACAAATGTTAACTGTGTATGGTGTCTTTCTCTCTACATTATTTCTCTCCAGACTCAAGTCTTGCTTGTTTAGAACGAGTAAAATAGTAAATGAATAAGGACCTACAGGGTTGAAGTAGATTTAGATTAGGAAAAAGAATAATTTGGAGGAAATATAGGAAAGGAGTAGAAAGAAAAATGTTTTAGGGTAGATTATTCTAGAAATCTGTTTCTGAAAACAGCTCTGAATTAAAGACCTCTTAAAAATGAAAAGTGGAAAGTAAAATTTACATCAACAGGCATAAACTAAATCATGGAGATAAGTATTTTGTTTTTATCCAGGGTCAGTGTCCTGATGACGTTTATTTGTGGGAAAGACAGGAATGTATGAGTCGCTAACTGTGTAATAGGAGCCTTGGTGGTACAGTGGTTAAAGCACTTGGCTGTGAGCCAGAACATTGGCAGTTCAGACTTACCACTTTGAACTCACTCAGGAGAAAGATGTGGCAGTTGGCTTTCTTAAAGATTTCAGCCGTGGAAACCCTATGGGGGCAGTTCTACTCTGTCCTATAGGGTCGTGATGAGTTGGAATCTACTCATTTACTCCGTCCCGTAAGCTCATGATGAACTGGAATCTACTTGGCAGTGGGTTTGGTTTGAGTTTAACTGTAATAAAGAAAAATAATGACACTGTTTTCTAAATGAAACATCTTTAATTAAGCTACTATGTAAATATGTGATGCCAGATCTAATAGGCAAATCACACATTCATTCTATACTTTAGAATTACCTTATTCTAATTTATTAATTTTTTGTTACTTTTTATTTTGAAATAATTTCAAATGTAACAGAAAAGTTATAGAAATATTATAACCAGATCCCTCAATTGTCAATGTTTTACTATATTTGCCTTAATTCTTTATACACATAGACACAACATTAGATTCTTTTTTCTAAACCATTTGAAAGTACATTGTAGATAGGATACTTCATTACCCGTAAACACTACAGTGTATGTTACTTAAACATAAGGACACTCCTATAAAACCACGGTACATCCATCGAAATCAGGAAATTGATACCATACTACCAGTTAATCCACAAACCTCATTCTGCTTTTGCGTACTGTCCCAAAAATGTCCTTTATAATTATGTTTTTCTTTTTTCTGGAATTACACATGGCATTTATTTGTCTTGACTGTTGGAATTTGAAGCCTATAGGCTCTGTTTTTTTTTTTTCTCCCTATCTTTATACAAATATTAGTAATGATTTTTTTTAAAAAAGGACCAAATTATCCAATATTCTGAAGTTTTTTCATTGAGTCTTTCTTGAATAGTGTAGGTAGATATAGATCTAATTGTTATAGTACTTAGTGTATTATAAACACTCAGATATTTTTAAATTCTTTTTACTAATTTTATAATATGCAGTGCAACACACTGTCATTGAGTCAGATCTGACTCATAGTGACCTCTCCTTGGGTTTCCAAGGTAGTATCACTACGGAAGTAGATTGCCCAGCCTTCCTTCCGAGGAGTGGCTGATGGGTGTGAACTGCCAGCCTTCTGGATAGTAGTCAAGTGCCTTAGGCACTATGCTACTAGAGCTCCCAATTTTATAATAGTACTTTTTATATGTATATTATAATTTATCTAATCTGAAGGTATGGTATGAAGGCCCCCAGAGTCCCCAAGATCCTTTCAAGGAATCCATGAGGTCAGAAAATTATTTTTCTTAATAATTAGATTTGCCTTTTTTGCTGTGCTGACATTTATACTGTTGAGCAAAAGCAATAGTGGGAAAAGTGTTGGTGCCTTATAGTAAATCAAGGTAGTGGCACCAAACTGTTGTTAGCCGTTGCATTAGGGAGAAAAAAAAGTCACTTTCAATTAAAAATGTTATTTGTGAAGCAGTAAAAGTTTATTATATCCTTTTGATGATGAAAGTTATTTTTAATGAGTGACAAAATAGGAAATAAACATTAAGCATTTCTGTCACATACAGAAGCATGATGGTTATCTTGAGTGTACATTTGCACAATTGAGTTATAAGCTAAACTAACCAGTTTTCTCTTAGAGCACCATTTTACCTGAAATAATGATTAACTAACAAACTATGATTATTCAGACTTATATTTGGCAGACATTTTCTTGGAAATGGATCAATTGAGTCTGTTACTAAAAGGAAAAATTAACTGTTGCCAATGATAAATTCAAGCTTTCAAGTGAAAGAATTTTAGAAAACTTACATTTGTCACTATGAGCTTGATTAATCTAATGAAATCAGTAGTGCTGTTTGTGCAAGTGACTCTTTATATTGTCAACAGTTAAAAGGTCTGTGTAACTGGATAAACCAATATATTTCAGATAACCAATATATGATATTACAAAATGATGCATCAATAAAAGATCCATTCAAAATGTAAGTTAGGTCAATGCATTTTAATGTAACACAGTACAAAAAGCTGATAAAGTTTCAGAGTCTACATTACAACTAACCTTTAAAAAACTCCCACTTTTTCAGTTTGATGTAGCATCAAGATTATCCTCAATTATATGTAAAAGCTATAAAATACTTTTCTCTTTCCCAAGTACACATCTGTGGGAGGCTAGATTTTCTTCATATACTGTAACTAAAACAACATACTTCAAGAGTTTGAATGCAGAAGCAGAGGGGAGGATCCAACTGTTTTAAGGAGTTCTGGTGGTGCAGTGCTTAAGGCATTGACTGCTAACCAGAAGGTTTGTAGTTCAAACCCACCAGCTGTTCTGCAGAAGGAAGATGAAGCAATCTACTTTCGTAAAGATTGACCACCTTGGAAACCCAATGAGGGTTGCTATGAGTCAGAATTGACTCAGTGGCAGTGGGTTTGGGGTTTTGTTTTTGTTTTTGTTTCTCTTTTAAAGAGATTTGCAGAAATGTGAATCAGTGCCACATGTTCTACATTTTTATTTTTTGCTTTGAAAACTAGAATTATTTTTCATAAAAACATGACTTCAGTGTAAGCATGTAATGGCTTTATTATTTTTAAATGAATACATATTTTAAAAGTTCTCAGTTTTCATTACTCATATGATAAATATAACCCACAAAAACAAAAGCTCTTTGGGGTTCTCAGTAGTTTTTAGGAGTCAGAAGCAACCCTGAGGTCACAAAGTTTGACACCCACACTGATTTTATCATTACACGGTGATGGATTTTAAAGTAGTCTCCAGTTTTTACTTACCAACATTGCTGCATTGCACATTTCTTTCTTTGCACACTATATGATTACTTCAGTGGGATATATTCCTAGACATAGAAATGACAAGCACATTTTTTTTTCATATCTTGGCAGATTGCCTTCTGACAGTTGGGCTAGTTTTCCCACAGACAGTGAATGAAGGTAACCTTTCCCCATATAGTAGTTGTTTGTCACTGCCAACCTCATAGATAAAAGGTGGTATCACATTAGGAGCTCTGGTGGTGTAGTGCCTAAGACATTTGACTGCTAACCAGAAGGCTGCCGGTTCAAGCCCACCAGCCACTCCTTGGAAGGAAGGCTGGGTAATCTACTTCCATAGTGATACCGCCTTGGAAACCCAAGGAGGGGTCACTATGAGTCAGATCCGACTCGATGGCAGTGAGTTTGGTTTTTTTCTTTTTTTGGTTAGTGTAATTAGTATCTTTTCATGGCTTTTAGCTATTTTTATTTCTTTTTTTGTAAGTTGTCTGTGTATTTTGTTCTTTTAATGTGTTGACCATCTTTCTTAACTGATTTGGAAGCATGCTTAGGAAAAAGTGGCTTCTGATAGTTACAGTGCTGTACATTTTTTCTGTTTCTTTTGATTTCATAAGATCTAAAATGCCAGAGATTTCTATTTTTTCATGTTGCCATATTTATTCATTTTTTTCCATTATGGCTTTTGGAATTTATGTCATATGTAGGCCTCACATGCTCCAAATTATAAAAATATTTACCTGTATTTTCTTTCTCTGATTGACAAGTCATTTTTAACCCGCTTGATTTAAATTAAACCCATCCTGCAAATGTGACAGCTTAATTTTAGTACTAATCTAAATAAGATCTATAATTGCGTGAGATGGAAACTTGAATCATTTCAGAGGAAAATTTAGTTTAAAGATGATGAATCAATTTAGAGATGTGATGTATCTCACATCCCCCACCTTCCCCACTTTCCTGCCGTTGAGTCAGTTCTGACTCCTAACAACCTTATGGGGCAGAGTAGAACTGCCCAATAGGGTTTCTAAGACTATCTATCTTTATGGAAAGCAGACTACCTCATTGTTTTCCTGTGGAGCGGCTGGTGGATTTGAACTGCCTACCTTTTGGTTACCAGCCAAGTGCTTTAGCTACTGTGTCACCAGTGCTCCTTCTCATTGTCTTAACCCACTAGTATTGATGTTTCTTTTTGTCTGCTCTTTTTTTTAGTTGCGGAAACGTGTGAAGCTTGAAGGAAAGGAACTTGAGGAATACTTGGAAAAAGAGAAGCTAAAAAAAGAGGCTGCTAAGAAACTTGAGCAGTCTAAAGAGTATGTTATCTTCAGACAGATTATAAGTTTATCTATGTAATTTGAAAAGAATTTATTTCTAATACATAGAATTTATGTAATTGAAAATACTTACATTTTCTTTTGACTTTGTCATTTTTGTTAATGAAAGAGGTCTTTCAGATGGTGCTAGCATACCAAATTCTCTGGTCATATGCATTTATTGACTGGCAGTGTTCTGTTTTAGAAAATATCTATTATCAAATATTATTGTATTATAGAATTAATATGAAATAATATTGATGGTTAATTAAAAATATTTTTATAAATAGTAATGCAGAATCTCTTGGGGATTTTACGGCTCTCATCTGTTCTGCAATCCTTTCAGGGCAGATATAGATTCCAGTGATGAGAGTGATGTTGAAGAAGATATTGACCAGCCGTCAGCTCATAAGACTAAGCATGACCTGATGATGAAAGGTGAAGGCAGTCGTAAGGGGAGCTTCTTTAAGCAGGCTAAAAAGTCCTACCCTATGTTTCCTGCCCCAGAAGAAAGAATTAAATGGGATGAATATGGAGAGATTATCAAGTATGTAAACAAAGCTAAACTTTTCTTTCTTACACAGTCAGAGGCCTTAGTGGTGTCATCATTTGAATTCACTGAGTCTAATACTGCTGGCATTGTATACTCTGTTAGTTTTGGACAAATGATAGAGAGTATTTGGAGCTGAAAACATAAAAACAAATATTGAAGAACTTCTAGAGAGTATTAGGACAACTGATAGTTTTAATACTAAGAGTTAGAATTGATTCAACTGACAGGTGGTTTTTTTAAATATGAAACTTACAGAAGATAATTGAGACTTTTTTTCCATTTAAAAAGAGAGAGAAAGGACATGCACTGGAGAAAGACATAGAATGGGAAGAACTTTTGATGATGATAGTGTTGTTTGGGAAGAGGTCTGTCTCAAATAGTATTTAATACATGTTTTAGTTACAAAAAGGATGAGGTAGAATGAGTTGAAACCATGGGAAATCTACAAAGGAAAAATAACTGAAAACATATTCTAATCACATACTGAAAACACCATCTTGGGTGTAAATCCTTCACGGTTCCCCTTGCCTTCCAGGTCAACGTCAAACACCGTAGTAGAGTGCACAGTGTCTTTCCCTATCTGGATTCTCCGGACTTTTCTAGACTGATCTCCTGTTACATCAGTGTGCGTTCTCCACTCTGGCACTACCACTTTCTCACAGTTTCCTTCTGCTCAATTTTTTCATATCTTATCTTTGCACGTGTTTTTCCTTCAGCCCTGTTCCATCTGCCCACCAGGTTTCCAGGTTGTTGAGTCTGGCTTCACAAGCTCCTTGGGAACCTTTCCTGATGGTGCCTTGCCACCCTAATTGGTCACTCTCCAGTACTTCCTTTGTACTTCCACAGTGCTGTCTTGAGCACATAGTGGACCTAACACCCTTCTCAGATTTAGTTGGAGGGTCCCACTGTCTACTTGGGTCTCCAGAATAGTAAAGAAACATGATTCAATTGGTGAGTTTGCTTTCCATCCCCCTTAACAAGTAGCTGCTCTGTGTAGGATATGGACAGTGCTCTTCAGCTTTAATTTCCCCATCTGAAAAATAGAGATAAGAATTAAATGAAGTATTTTAAGGCACGTTGCACAGCACCTGACATAGTAAATACACTTTAAGTGGTTATTACTGTTCCTGTAGATTACAGTTGGAGATATTGGACTGTTGAAGCTACTGTAACAATCTGGGTACTGGTGATTGCGGTAATTAACTTTGTGTGTTAACTGGTTAAATGGCTGGGCAGCTGGATGTAGTGTTCCCCATGATGAGACTGGTAATCAACTCCATGGTGGACTGTACTGTGAGCAGCTGTGTAGCTGCCTTAGGGATGTGGTCTGCTTCCTGTATATATAAGCAGAAGCCTTGGGGAACGGTCTCCAGCTTATGGCACACTTGAACCCTGCATGTAGCCGTGTCATTGTTCATCAGCCTGCCATGCTCTGCCAACCTTGGGACTTTCAATGGACTTGAATCAATGGCCTGCTGTGTGGTTTGGTAACATCAGGACTGTGCCATTTTATTAGTCAATCTTGGCTTGTTAGCCTCAGCAGCCAGTAGCTGCCTGAGTGAAGAGATGCCTCTAGCTTCAGTGGGCTGGAAGCAAGAGGTAGAGCTGAAGGCCAAGGTCGAGGAGCTTTCACCCAGCCCATATAGCCTGGCACTTTGAATTCAGACTTCTAGTCTCCCAGATTGTAAGAGTATAAACCCCTGTTTGTAAAAGCCATCCCATTTGTGGTATGCTCTTGTCAGAGTGGCACTAGGTAACCAGAACAGTGATAAGAGAAGTATTCATGAATTAGGGGGATGGGACTTAGACAATTGCAGGAGGTTAGAGGGAAAAATTTTTTTTTTTTTTAAACTGAACTTCTTTGACATTAGAAGTAAAGCTGAGAAGGAAGATACTGTGTTAATAGTACATTGAAATAAAAGCTGTTAAGGGAGCTCTAAGTTTTTATGTGTGTCTTCTTGGTACCGTGTAAATGGAGAGTCATCTGCTTTCCTTAGGCCAGGAAGAAAAGTACCTGAGGGTCGTAAGGCAATCAAAGGAGGTCTGAGGTGTATGTGCATTGGGAGTTGACAAGCCAAAACACTGAGAGTGTGTGAAAGAATCAGTGAAAAGAATGCAGAGCGAGGTTGCAGTTGCTAATTGCAGGCGATAGGTTTCTGTGTCTTGTAACAGTACTTGGGGTCTTCTAGCTGGCCTGCTTAGGGCTTTTTCACTGGCCCACAGGGTGATTTTTTTTTTTTTTTTAACTTGTTGAGGATATACAAAACAGAACATACATCAGTTCAACAATTTCTTCAGGGTCAGTTCAGTGACATTGATTAAGTTCTTTGAGTGGGGCAGTCTTCTTTCCTACCCTCTTTCTGAATTGTTCCTCTGCTATTAACATAAATTTACTGCCCCTAAGGGTCTTATCATTTGAGTTCCTGCTGTCAATTTGATTGTGTTCTTGAAAGAGCACAGTGCTCAAGGCAGACAGTCTTTGCTAGTTAAGCTAAACAATTGTTCAGCTCTAAGACTTCAGGAGATTTTTTTGGTTTAAAAGTTAAAGATTATCTCAGAGCAGTAGTTTCAGGGCTTCATCCAGGCTCCTTAGCTCCAGAAACCACATGGTGATTTTTAAAGAGCATTCCCCAGTAGTTATGAAGAACATAATACCTGTTGTCATCTGATAATTGATGTTAGGAAGTTGCATTGGCTTGGATCAAATGTATGTTTACATTTTGAGGTAGGTGAGAAGTCTGAAAATTAGGTCACTTATTATGCCGATGGCATCTCTGGGTGGTAGATGATTAATGTGCTTGGCTGCTAACCATAGGCATCTTGGAGGAAAGGTCTGGCAATCTGCTTCTGAAAAACTAGCCATTGTAAACCCTGTGGAGCTCAGTTCTACTCTGACACGCTTGGGTCGCCATGAGTTGGAGTTGACTCAGCAGCACCTGGTTTTACTGGTTAGCTGTGTATATGATGTTATATTGCTTGTTACTATTCTAATTAGAGATTTATTACTTAGACCAGAGGATTTCTTAGTGCCAGAACTTCAAGCTACTGAGGAAGAAAAAAGCAAATTAGAATCTGGCTTGACCAATGGAGATGAGCCCATGGATCAGGATTTATCTGATGTTCCTACCAAGTGTATTTCTACAACAGAGTCTATTGAAATAAAGTAAGTACTTTTGTTACATTTGAGAATAGTTTACAAGATAAAATTTAAGACACCTGAATTATATAAATTTATATTGTTTCATAAGTAAAATTTCAGAGTTTCCTTCCTAGGGTATGCTTTTAAAAATTAATTTATTTTTCCATGCAAAAATTTGTGAAATATGATGGTATTTTCTCTTCATTAATCATTTTAATGTCAAAGTCATTGCATTGACATTGAGGGGGGGTTAAACATTAAATTGTATATTTATGTATCTGGCCTTTTTGGAAGACTAGTAGCCCATGAAATGGTGCATGCATCCTGCAAGTTTAATTTTTCTGAGTACTTGTTCATAAAATATACTCTGAGCTTAAAACATCTTAAGTACCTCATATCTTGAAAATACTAGTGTGATCCGAAGTAGTTAAGAAAGTTTTTTTCCCTGTCTACTTAGCCATTGATAGTACCTGTAAATGATCATTCCATCATCATCTCTCTCTCCTTGCTCCTCCTCTCCTTTTGAGGACTGTAGAAACCTTTTGGCATCTTTTTTTAGGTCATCAAGAAGCAGAATAGTTTATTTTTCCTGTGATAACATTTAGTATGTATTCTCAGGTATACCTAAGATCTAAATAATACTTACTAACAATATAAGACTTGTTTATTCTTCAAATCCTGATTTTTATATATTGTGTTTATTTCTTCTCTCATGACAAAAGCCATAAAAACCTAATTTCAGAATTGACTTATTGTCATAAGTAAACTTGAATAATCATTTCTAATTACAGAGCCAGGGTTACTTACATAGACTACGAAGGACGCTCTGATGGGGATTCCATTAAAAAAATCATCAATCAGATGAAGCCACGACAGTTGATCATTGTCCATGGACCTCCAGAGGCCAGTCAAGACCTTGCAGAATGCTGCCGTGCATTTGGCGGGAAAGACATTAAAGTGTATATGCCGAAGCTGCACGAGACAGTTGACGCCACTAGTGAGACTCACATCTACCAGGTGAAGACCCCGGTGTTTGAGCCACATGGAAATAAATACTTTTGGATGCAGATTAGGAGAGAGGTATTAGGAATGTAGTGGTGAGATAGGCATGGTCCCCTGCATCTGTGAGGCTAATAATAAGAAGTAACGTGAATCAATCTGCTACACTCTGATTAAACTGCAGGGTGCTATGAGGATAAAGGATAAAGGGGGCCCTACACCCAAACTTCAAGGAACAAAAAAGGTGTCCTGGAGGAAGTGATAAGTAACTTGGAGCCTAGCACATTTGTATGGCTTGTCAGGGTTGAATGGGTGGGAAAGAGGCAGGGATAGAGAATTCCAAGCAGAGGGAGCAACATTTGCAAAAATATAGAGGTGAGAGGATTGGTATTCAAGAATTCAGAAATTTAGTACAAACCCACAGATGGCAAGATTCTACTTTAATTGAAGACAATGCATATACAGAAAAGAGCGATGACATAGAAGAGAGATTGATTTCACTCTTACTTGGTAGTGGGAGATGGTATCGTTGAAGACTTCCCCAGGTGGTAAAAATATTTGTTTGGAAAAAATGAATTAGAATCCACCAGGCAGAAGGGTCATTCTGGGCAAGGCAAGAGGCAGCATCACTTGAAGCACATGGAGGGTGTGAAACTGCATGGTATACTCTGGAAACCATAAGCAGTTCAGCGCCCCTGCAGTACATCACGGATCAGAAGGTGGGGCTTCACCAGGGGTTGTCCCTCCTGGCTGCGCCTGAGGATCCTCTGGGGAGCTTTGGGGGAGTGTGGGCCTCTCAGTGCCTGGTGTTCACTCTCCCAGTGTTAGAGCAGAATCACTGCAGTGAGGCCCTGACGTTCATGCCTTTTTTTTTGTTTTGTTTTAACTGCCACGTGATTCCAATGTGCAGTCCGGGTTAAGAACCTTGGTTTAGAAAGCAGACAGAGGTGCTAATGATTTTACAGATTTGTTGTGATCAGATGAGTGAAAGATTTTCAAATTTTTATGCATCTTATCAGAGTCAAAGAATGGGGGTAAACTAATTTGTGAACAATTTCCCCTCCCTTTGCATATCCAGGTGAGGTTAAAAGACTCGCTCGTCAGCTCCCTTCAGTTCTGTAAGGCCAAGGATGCTGAGTTGGCGTGGATAGATGGTGTCCTGGACATGAGAGTCTCCAAAGTGGACACAGGAGTTATTTTAGAAGAAGGAGAGCTGAAGGATGACGGTGAGGACTCCGAAATGCAGGTGGATGCTTCTTCCGATTCCAGCGCCATCGCGCAGCAGAAGGCCATGAAAAGCCTGTTTGGAGATGACGAGAAGGAGGCGGCCGAGGAAAGTGAGGTCATTCCTACTTTGGAACCCTTGCCGCCCCATGAGGTAAAAAGCATGCACCGTTTCTCTCCTTTCATTTCTTATCCTTTGCATTTTCCTTTTAGGATTTAAAATACATCATGTGTAGGTTGATTTGGAAGTTTTTTGAAAGGTCCATCAAGCTATATTTCTGGGTATGTATATATATATATGTATATCAAGTCTGTGTAGCTGTAACACGATAGAACACATGAATGGTAACAATTTAAAGGAAACCTTTAGCAAATGATTTTAGAAAGTACATAATTGTTTCATGATTTATGTTTTCAGTATAGATTTTGAAATATTAAGTTTGATGATAGTGAGGAGTACTTCCTGCTTCCAACCAGGAGGTTAATAGTTTTCCAAGAACATCATATATATTTTTTTAATTGTGATTTGTGTGAAAGTTTACAGAGTAAATTCATTTCCCATACAGCAGTTCATATACACTTTGTCTCATGACATTGACTGCAATTTCCGATAATGCAACAGCTCTCTTCCCACTTCCTCTCCATAGTTACCTCTTCCCTGTGTCCTTCCCTCCATGTACTGCTGCCCCTGAGCTATCTCCCTGGGCATACACAGCCCTTCTATTCTCCCATGATTGATCTCTCCAAGGAGTGTATCTGTCTAATGTAAATGTTCAGCTCATATGCCTGTCTTTTGTTTGGCTGGAAGCCATGGGAGTGGGTTCAATTCTAGACCTAAAGGGCAGCTAGGGGCCATAGCCTCAGGTGTTTCACCAAGCTCTGACAGAGAACAAACCTGGTCCTTTTTTTTTTTCCTCTTTTTTTTTTTTGATGATTTTGAGTTTTGTTCCACATTGTTCTCCCACTCTATCCAGGGTCTCCTCTATAGATCCCCTTCCAAGCAGTTGACAATGGTAGCTGGGCATCATCTAATTCTTCTGGTCTCATAGTCGTATAGGCTGAGGATTGCATGGTGTCCCAGTCACTTGGATTAAATGTTTCCATGTGTCTTTGGTTTTCTTCATTCTTCTTTGCTCTGGATGAGGAGAAAACCCATGGTTGCATCTAGATGGCTGCTTGCAAGCTTTTAAGATCCCAGTTGCTACTCACCAGAGTAAGATGTGGAACAATGTTTTTGTGTAGTATTCAAGAACATCATACTCTTGGACTCCATATTTGTATTTGTATGATGTCAAATCAATTCAAATTGCTTTTGGTTTTAATATAGTTAGAACTCTTTTGTCAATTCCAAATGTAACTCAAGTCCAGTGTTTCCATGTTCTCAAGAGGTATCTAATCAATTAGCAGAGATTTCAGCTATACTTAATTTCCTTAACATACAATAGTATTAAACTTCATTGTAAGAGTCCTCCATGCAAGTCAAGGGTTCTGTTGGGAATTAGTAATAGACGGTCTGTATCTTTGGATTCCCTTCCAGTATTTGCTCTTTTGAAATTGGGAGGAGGGACTACAATCTATTCCTCTCTGTGTACATCAAAGCAGCAGCATTAGGTTGGAGCATGTGCCTTCCTGATGCTAAAACCAGTAACATCCACTGCATTCCCTCTGAGGAAGGAGGGAAAGTAGAAATGGGATTAGGAGAGAATTGTCCTCTGAACTGAACAAAGGACTGGGATCTGGAAGCACATTTTTGGATCAGTTCTGCCTGCTGACACTAGCTGACCCCATTAGGCAAGTAGGTGTGTGAAGAGCAGACCCTCTTTCTGTGGTTCTGAGCCATGCCTAATAAAATTGGGTGTGAAACAGAAAGTGTGAAGGGCTTTGTAATGCTAAGTAATGAGGGAAAATTCAGAAGAACAACTTGGAATGTGGCTTATATTCTTGAAGCATCTGTTGAAGACTCTCAGGGAATATAGATAATATCTTACAGATCATGTGTTGTTTCACTTTATTCAGTGAATCTGTATATCTGGTGTTTTTTCTTTCCTCCTTTCCTTTGCTAAGGTTCCGGGACATCAGTCAGTTTTTATGAACGAACCAAGACTATCAGACTTCAAACAAGTTCTTTTACGGGAGGGGATCCAAGCTGAATTTGTAGGAGGTGTTCTTGTTTGCAACAATCAAGTCGCAGTCCGTAGAGTAAGTGTGTTTTTGATAAAGACTGAATTGAACAAATGCTTCTCATGTTGTTCTGCAATTCTTGTGGTAATTTCACAAAACTGGAGATCAGTAGTTCATATACATAATGATGACCTTGAAGGCTTGGAAGAGTGACTCTCAAAGAAATGACATATAATTTTACTGTAAATTTTTATTATTTGAAGTCTCTGACATTTATATGTATGAAAAATTCATGACTTGAATATTATATCCATATTCTATGAGTCAGAACAATCCGTTCCCTGGCCAATCAAAGTAATTTATTTAATATTTTTGTTATTATAACTGCATATTAATGAGTAGAAAATGAACTTATATTTTTTCCCTTGATTTCTAGACGGAAACTGGACGCATTGGATTAGAAGGCTGCCTTTGTCAGGATTTTTATAGGATACGAGACCTTTTATATGAACAGTATGCCATTGTATAAAGGACGTGATGTCAGAAAGTATCTGTTTGACCTTTTGAAGAAAAAGGATTCTTATCTTATTCTAAGGTTTTGCTTTTTTGTTTTGTAACATGCAAAAAGGATCAGCCAGAAAAACGTGATGTTAGATTTTTTAAAATATGTAAATAGAGACCATTTTGCTGAAGCTTATATGAGCATCCTACCTTTCAGCTTTCAACATCCTCAGTGGAGGTCCCAGCAAGTCTGCAGGCCCAGGAGCTGGAGAGGATTGGTTTCCTTTACAGGCCCTCAGTCAAAGAGGGGCTCTTCACTTGAATAAAACAGTGCAACTTAGCAAACCAGTTCATGGCCTTAGAGAAACAAGTTTGCATGCGTTCTTGCAAATTGTTTCTTACGTTTTCTGGAATGAAAAGTGAGAATGAGTTAGAAAATATGTGCTACTAAAAATAAAACTGATAAAACAGTTTTTTGAGGTCTGTCCATTCAAAAACCAAACAGGTTTTTACTGAATATGTGTTATAACTCATTTTGAATTCTGATTTACAGTTATTTTCACGTGGAACGTATCTGCTACTGGCCTGTATTTTCCAGTGGTTTACTGTAGCATCAGGAAGCACACATTGGTTCCGAAGTCAGTTTTTGTTTCTCCCATTTCTTGTTTTATCATGATTTTTATTGTTCGGTCTGAATGATAACGCTATCATTTGAAAGAACTTCTTAGTATGTATATAGGCTTAAGGTGTCTCCATACACTTTAGACATCCCTGAACTGTCAACTAGGTTACTTGGAAACTCTGTTGAGTGGTGTTTTAAGAAAATAAGTGTTGACTATCATATGTTTATAGAATAACAGTATAATTTAATTAAATGATGTATATTTTTTCATCTCTTAGGCTTGCTCTCTCCTATCCAAGCAGTAGTTGGATTTTACACACATCACTACAAAATGATGCTGAAATTAGATAAAGGTCATTGTACCCATGCCAGTGTCTTTCTTGTGGCCAGCAGCCCTGATGTAGTGTCAACCACTTGTGTTCAGAAGTAAAAACTGAACGTATTCAGTGTACCCTGAACTTAAAGAGAAAAATGAAGCCCATGTTGCTCTCCAGTAAGCTGCTGATGATTTTTAAAGAAGTAGCTTAACCATGGCAGACCTGGGTGTTTATTTCTTAACTATTTAAGCCCTCCTCTTTACACTGAGCGTTTTTAGGAGGATCAGTCTTACTCAGCGTAAAATGGAACTATGGATAATGCCACCCAGTGCTATCACACTGGCATTAGTACTTCATTCTGTTTCAGATTCCCACAGTGCTTCTGTTGTGGATAGTAGTGCTAATGCATAGTTGACCACCTTCGGGAAATAGTGTTCCAGAAGGTGTATATTCAGAGTGTGTGTGCTTTCTGTAGCTTTGACAGCTTTTCGGTTAAACTCATACTGTCTGAGTAAGCCTAGAGTCCCATTTATATTCCAAGGGAAAGAAAATCTGCATTTGTTTCCTGTTTAAAGCTTCCAGTTATTACCTGTTCCATTGTAATACTGCTACTAAAGATCTGTTTCTTGTGCAGCCTTTTCTCACTGTCCTGAACAGGAATTAAATTCTGAAGAACTGCTTGAAGATTGCTGGGCCAACTCGTGTCCTCACGAGAGCAGTACTTTTCCTTGTTTCTAGATGGCAGTGTCACTAAAACTTCTAAAATGAAGACATTTGTTTAACCTCAGTAATGGAAACTACAAATTAACAAAGGACTATGCAAAAAATTATGAACTTAGAGGGACGTTCAGATCTTTAGTGTTTAAAAGCAAGAGTAAATACAAGTTGATTATCAGCTGGTATCTATAAGTAGTATAATTAAAAGTTTTATTGTAGTGTTTGTTGCAGTGGATTAGAAATATGAAATATCATTGCAAAGAAGCTTTCTGTGTTCCTGAACCAGTAGATGACTTGAAAAAGAAGTGAGAAAACCAATTTCCTATGGAGGGCCATTCACCTATTTTTTAAATGGAAATATAATTCACATCCATAAAAATTCTCCCCTTTAAAGTATACAATCCATAGTTTTTAGTATATTCACAGATTTGTGCAGAATTCACAGCCTGGTGCAGCCGTCACCACTATCTAATCCCAGAACATTTCCATCAATCCGCAAAGAAACCTTGCATTCATTAACAGTCTCCTCCCTGCAGCCCCTGGCAGCCATTCATGTTTTTATAGGTTTGCCTGTCCTGAATATTTCACATAAACAGAACCGTACAACATGTGGTGTTTTGTGTCTGACTTTTTAATATTTTTTAATGCATTTTATTGAAATATAATTTATGTACAGTGAAATACATAAAACTAAAGTGACATGGGTCAATGCATTTTTTTTCAGTGTTCGCCCCCCCGTAACCAACAAAGAAAGTTTCCTTCCATATATAAACCTTTCCTTGACTTTTTACAATAATGAACTAATACTATATTTGTCCTTTTGTGATTTACTTATTTTACTCAGAATAATGTCCTCCAAGTTCATCCATGTTATTTGGTGTTTTGCAGGTTCTACGTTATTCTTTAGTGTTGCATAGTATTCCATTGTGTGTAGTATATACCATAGTTTAGTTATCCATTCTTCTGTGATGGGCATGTAGGTTGTTTCCATCTTTTTACTATTGTAAGTAGTGCTGTGATGAACATGGGTGTGTGTGATAGTTGGAGCTGTGTGTCAACTTGACTGGACCACAATTCTGTGTGGTTTAAGCAATTGTGGTGTGGGTTGTTCCAGTGATAAGATCAGATGTATATGTTTTGAGCAGCCAATCCGTTGAAAGGGGTGTGGCCTGCTTCCAGTATATTTATGGATATCCTGGGAAAAGAGACACTCTTCTGTGGATCAGGATTCTGTTGTGCTGCCTACAACTGTCCGTGAGC